TAAGGCTCCTGTAATGTTTTCTATGTCATGTTGACCTTGGCTGCCAGAAAAGGAAGAGAAATGGCAGGGTTTGATAGGAGCTCTAGAGTCTTTCTAGATTTGGGAGACCTCAGAATTCTCCTGGAAAGTAAAAGCAGGGCTGGAGGAAAAGGGAACGCACAAAGGCAAAAGGAAAGTAAGTGCTGAAAGCGAAAATGAGTAAGTGGCATCCCAGTGACAAAAATCCTTCCACTAACCAAACAGCCGCGAGTCAGAGACAGGAACTTTGTAGCATGGCAGGTTTCAACCCAGTCAGGGGTAAGAGTGTTGTGGTTACAGACACCTCCCGAAGGAGAGCAGCTGCATTCTAAAGGCAAGCTGTTGCTTAAAGAGCTAGTGTACAGAGACTGAATGACTTATTTGTTTGTTCTTTTTGTTGTCTACCAAGATGACAAGATTCTGGGGATTTATTTACCAAGGCATGCTAGAAAGAGACTGAGTTATAGACTGGATGGCCGTTTTTCTAATATGTGAGAGAATTGCTCTCCTACGATATAATAGATCACATGTTCCCAACTTATCTGGCCTAACACCCCCTTTTCAGAATAAAGAAAAATTACTCAGTGCTCCCCAGCAATGAAAAACTGTTGTCCTACAGCCCATAATTCAGGATAAAGTGTAGGTATCTGCTTGTGCAGTCTCCTGGATATTTTTAGCACCCCCTACAAGGTGGTATCAGCCACATTGGGAAATGCTGTAATAGACGTTAGTCACTTGGACAAGACCCTCCTTCGGTGCACAGGTTCATGTTCATTCCAGAGGGGGGATTAGAATTAACAACGTTTGTGGATGAGCTGGGAACTCGAGTAAGAGAAACAGATCATCTCAGAGAAACTTATACCCAGCTTTCATGGTTGGGCGAGCTGGGGTCCCCTTTGTGGAAATGGCTAACACTTGTTGGGTGCTTAGTTGGTGTTTGGCATTGTTATTAATACATTATGTGATTTTACCATCATAACAACATGATGTAACACTCAACTCACTACCATTGTATTGATTCTGGCTCATAGCAACCTTACAGGACAGAGGAAAGCTACCCCTGTGAATTTCCAAGACGGGATATCTTTATGGGAATAGAAAGCCTCATCTTTCTCCTGAGGAGCAGCTAGTGAGTTTGAATCACTGACCTTGCACTTAGCAGCCCAAGACTACAACCACCGGGGTTCCTTTACATGGTGTAACAGACATGATTATTATTTCTATGTAACAGGTGACCAAAGTCATACAGTCAGTGCTGGCTGGAGCTCTGACATGAACCCAGGTTGTCTAATTCCAGAGTCAATTATCTTAATTGACTGCACTGTCCCTTCTGACCAAGATGTTTGGCTTACCTCATAAAAGCACTAACTAGCTTTTGGGCCTCCACTTTGCACTTTTCCCTTCATCCAAAGTACCATTCCTCATCCTAAAGACACCATAGGACATGCGAATGGAATGCAGCTTCCTTTACACCGGCTAAATTCTAGTTCCATCTTTTAAAAAAACTAAACATAGAGATACACTTTAAAAAAAATAAATCATTTGTTTTTTTAATAGTTCTTATCACAATCCATACACTCATCCATTGTGTCAAGCACATTTGTACATATGTTGTGATCATTATTTTCAAAATATTGTCTTTCTACTTGAGCCCTTGGTATCAGCTCTTTTTCTCCTCCCCCACCATCCCTCCCTCATGAACCCTTGATAATTTATAAATTATTATTTTTTTCATGTCTTACACCAACCACTGTCTCCCTTCACCCACTTTTCTGTTGTCCATCTCCCTGGGAGGGGGTTATAGGTAGATCATTGTGATCAGTTCCCTCTTTCTTACTCTCCTGGTATTGCTACTCTCATTATTGGTCCTGAGGGGTTGGTCTGTCCTGGATTCCTTGTGTTCCCAGCTCTTATCTGTACCTGTGTACATGCTCTGGTCTAGCTGGATTTGTAAGGTAGAATTGGGGTCATGATAGTTAGGGGCAGGAAGCATTAAAAAACTAGAGGAGAGTTGTGTGTTTCATCGGTGCTATACTGCACCCTGACTGGCTTGTGTCTTTCTCGTGACCCTTCTGTAAGGAATGTCCAATTGTCTACAGATGGGCTTTGGGTGTCCATTCGGCACTCCCCCTCATTCACATCGATATGATTGTTTCTTCTGGGTCTTTGGTGCCTGATACCTGATCCTATCGATACCTCATGATCACACAGGCTCGTGTGCTTCTTCTTTGTGAACGTTGTTGATTCTCAGCTAGATAGCCACTTGCTTATCTTCAAGTCTTTAAGACCCCAGACTATATCTTTTTATAGCTGGGCACAATCAGCTTTCTTCACCACATTTGCTTATGCACCCATTTTGTTTTCAGCGAAAGTGTCAGGCAAGGTGAGCATCATGGAATGCTGGGTTATTAGAACAAAGTGTTCTTGTGTTGAGGGAGTATTTGAGTAAAGGCCCAATGTCTGTCTGCTACCTTAATCCTTAACAGATAAATATATGTTCATAGATCTATTTCCCTATCATTATATGAAAATATGTTTACATATACACATGCCTGTATTTAGACCTCTATATATGTCCTTTGCCTCCTAATTCTTTCCTCTATTTCCTTTTACTTTCATCTTGTCCCACTGTCATGTTCAGCCTTCATTTGGGTTTTGGTAATTCCTCTGCACTACATTTCCCTTGATCAAGCCTACCAGGCATCCTACGCTCCCTTGCCATTGACTTTAGATCACTAGTTGTTCACTTGTCCCTGGGTTTGTTGGCATCCCCCATTTCATTTCTCCCACCTCCCCTTCTCCCATGTCCTCCCAGAACCATCAGTCCCATTGTTTTCTCCTCTGGATTGTTTATCCCACTTATCTTATCTAGATAGACATGCAGAGACTATAAAGCACAAAAACAAGATAGCAAAAACAAAACAACAAAAGAAAACAAAACAAGAGCAACAACAATAAGAAAAACACTAACAAAAAAAGAAAAGCCTATAAATAGTTCCAGGTCTGTTTGTTGACCTTTAGGAGTGTTTTCTGCTCGAGTCTGATGGGTGCCATGCCCTGGCCCTAAAATATACTTTTGGTATTCCTTGGGGACTTTATTGCTTTGCTCCTCTTGCTGCTCTGTTGCAGGCACTTGGTGCTTTGCCCTGGTGTGGTGGGGTCAGATTGGGCACAATTCCTGCACTGTGTCTTCAGTGTTGTCCTCATAGCGCTAAGGGTCAGTGAGGGACTTGTGTCTTGTGGTGGGGCCAGCCCTAAGGTGCTCTCTGTGCATTGGCTGCTCTGAGCAGGAGTATTGCTCTCAGGGCTTGGTGGGCCAAGATGTGTTCCACTCTCTCTTTGTCTCTCCTTCCCGCTTCATTTGCTCCTGATCAGACCTGTTTTCTGATCAGACCTGTCCCTCTCCCCCAACTGTAGCTTCAGTGCTGTCCTCTGAAGTGAATTCTTCTTGGAAAGGGTGTGAATGTGCGTGTGTCTACGTAGTTGGGATTGGGGCCAGCCCTGCAGACCTCTCTGTTGGTTTGCTGATTCATGCCGCTGTGTTGTATTCACCTCTTGGCTCACTGGGTTGACATCTGCTCCTTCTCACCCTCTCCTGTGGAGATATAAACAATGCCCTCTTGGGTGGGTTAGTGCCCTGTTTCCTAACTACCCATGTCTATTCTTTCTTTCTTTCCCCTTCCTTTATGGTTGGCTGCCATATGTATCCCTGGATTTGGTCTGGCCCCTGCCATAGTACCTGGATCTCACCCCAGGAATGTATGTATATAGTAGCTTTTCTCGTATGCCCCTTTTGCTTTTTAAAGCTTACCTCAGTGCCCTTGTATGCTTGGCTTACTTTGCTTAGCTTAATTTCCTTCAATTCATCCCATGTGGCGAGGTGCTTCATGCATTCATCACTGCTTTTTTTAGGGATGCGTAGTACTCCATTGTATGTATGTACCACAGTTTTTTAATCCATTCATTCGTTGATGGAAATTTGAGTTGTTTCCAACACCTCGTGATTGTCACTATGCTGCAATGAACATTGGAGCACAGTTGTGTGGCCGTGGTTTGTTTCTTACCTCTCCTAGGCATATGCCTAGGAGGGGATTGGGAATAATTCGAAGAAGATAGCAGCATCTGCATTGTCACATAATGACCAAGAGAAAGTTGTGTGTGTGTGTGTGTGTGTGTGTGTGTTTAATTGCTAAAAGTTGGCCAGGCAGAAACAAAAGGCATCCTCGTGGTGGTGTTGGGTAAGTGTTGGACTGCTAACAAGGTTACTGGTTCAAATCCTCCAGCCACAGCTTCGGAAATCCTGTGTCATTAGCTATGAGTCAGAACTGATTCAATGGCAGTGGGTTTGTTTGTTTTTTGATTAGGTAAACTAACAGCTTTCTAGGCTATAGATGCATCATAATTATTTTAAATGCAATCTAATAATGATATTTTATGTACTTTTAAGACATAACCTTTTTGATATTGTTTCCAAAATAAAATTATGACAGTAAATATATCATTAGTTAGTTTTTCACCAACTCAGGTGATATCTTTAAGGGAAAAAAATCATCAATTAAAAAAAGAAAGAAAAATCACAATAATTTTCATAAACCTTTTCGATTTCCTGCTGACTTGGAAAAGTGACAGTCTTTTATTCCCCTTATGAGTGCTTCTCTCTTCTCTGCTCTTGTCTAAGTTCATCCTGAAGAACAATCCAGAAGGTATGAAAAACACCCTGTCATGCCATAGTGTATACTTTATTGGCACTTCTTGGTTGAGAGTCACTTATTGAGGCATTTGTGTCAATACATGTATAGTTTTAATTGACTTTTCAAAAAAAATAAAGAAAAAGTAGAAATGGAAAGTAAAGGGGGAAAATGGATTTGCCCAGAAAATGAAAGTTTCTGTGCTCACTATTTAAGAGGTCTTCCTCATCCAAAGTCTCAGAGCTTGCTAAGTAAGGCAAGGCTTCCACTGCAGAAAGTCCGGCAGAATCAACAATGTCCCTCCCACTGTCTCTGCTGATGGCCTTGGTGATGCTCGGCTCCAATCCTGCCTGCTCTCTGTGCTGTGACCTGCCTGTGAACCGAGACAATCAGGAATCCTTCACAGTTCTAAGTCAAATGCAGAAAATATCCCTTGTGTCGTGTCTGGGGGACAGGACTGACTTCAGATTGCCTCAGATATTGGCGGGCATGACCCAGTTGGAGAAGACCCAAGCCGCTGTGGTTCTGCATGGCATGCTCCAGCAAATCTTCAACTTCTTCAGCACAAGTAGTTCTCATGCAGCGTGGGATGAGATCCTTCTGGACAACTTCCTCACTGGGATATACCAGCAGCTGGAAGACCTGGAGCTGTGCTTGGAAAAAGGAAGAAAGGTGGAACAGATATCTGTGGAAAGTGAGAACTCCAGGCTGGCTGTGAAGAAGTACTTCCAAGGACTCCGTCTGTATCTGAAAGAGAAGGCCCACAGTCACTGCGCCTGGGAGATCGTCAGGGTGGAAACCAGAAGGTGCCTGCTCTTCATTACCAAGTTCACAGAAACCCTCAGGACATGAAGAAGATGTTGGTTCTTAAAATAGTCCATTTGGTCAATGGAGTTGCTGTTTCCGAAGACTTCATCCTTAAATTATCATCTTATGCCGGATGAAAAAGAAGTATTGGCCAGCTTATGGGAATTGTCATTAAATCATGTTGTACCATGAGTTATAATAAGTTATATAGAACAGAGACTTGTATGATCCATTTGCATTGCTGAAAACATTTTTCTTTGCATTTTTAATCTGCCTCTTATAATTATTGGAAATATTTATGTGGTTCAGTTATTTAAATACGTATTGTCAATAGAACATTTGCTTAGTATGATATTTTGCATAAGACCACTGCTCGCTCAGTTTTTAAAGCTATGTGAAATAAATACAATTTTCAATAACCAACTTGTTGGGCTGCATACACTTTTCACCAGAAACCTAACCAAAAGTCTGATCCCACACAACAAACCCAGGCCAAGCATACGAGTCAAGAAATGGATCCTAACACACGATGACCCTTTTGAGGAGGGAGTGACTTGATTGCAAAGATACAGCCTCCAGCTGATGTCAACTTTACTCTAATCCAGGGCCATCTCCTGTGTATCAGAGTATAATTGTGGTTCAAGGGATTTTCAATGGAAGTCAATCATTTGGCCATTCCTCTAAGGTGTCTGTGGGCCTCTCAGTTAGCAGCTGAGCATCTTAAAAAGCACATGAAGCACCTTCTAAGAGATAAATGTCCAGGGCATGAGCACTGTCACCCCTGCAGTGTCTGTAACAACTAGAAAAATGCCAAGGCTGAGAAAAGTCATAGCAAGGCAATCCAGTGTCTACCTGTGGACCCTGGAGAAACTTGGAGAAGGCTAAGGAAAAGAGGGAGCATGTACCTTCACCCTCATGGCAAGGCTCTGATTTCTAATTTCCTATTTCTGTATTCTAAGTATTTCAAGTGAAAAATGGAAGAACATATATCTATAGTACAATTAATGTTAAAATAATTAACATTATAATGCATTTTATTGTCCAAACACCTAGCCAGTATTTGACTGTCAAATTCATCCTTTGACCATGCATGTTATTGAGAGGTACTGTCGAGTTTGTCAGCCTCATAACAACACTATGTATGACATAATGAAACACTCAGAATGAGACACTATGTATCACAGAATGAAACACTCAGAATGACACACTGTGTACAACACAATGAAACACTGAGAATGAGATACTATGTACCACGGAATGAAACACTCAGAATGAGACACTATGTACCACAGAATGAAACCCTCAGAATGAGACACTATGTACCACGGAATGAAACACTCAGAATAAGTCACTGCATTCAACAGAATCAAACACTCAGAATGAGACACTATGTACAGCAGAATGAGACACTCAGAATGAGTCATTATGTATAATAGAATGAGACACTCAGAATGAGTCACTATGTACAACAGAATGAGTCACTATGTACAACAGAATGAAACCCTCAGAATGGGACACTATGTACAATAGAATGAAACCCTCAGAATGACACACTGCGTACAAGAGAATGAAACACTCAGAATGAGTCACTATGTACAACAGAATGAGACACTATGTACCACAGAATGAGACACTCAGGATGAGACACTATGTACAACAGAATGAAATACTCAGAATGAGACACTATGTACAACAAAATGAAACACCCATAGAATGAGTCACTAGGCACCAAAGAATGAAACACTCAGAATGAGACACTATGTACCACAGAATGAAACACTCAGGATGAGACACTATGTACCACGGAATGAAACACTCAGGATGAATCACTACGTATAATAGAATGAGACACTCAGAATGAGTCACTGTGTACAACAGAATGAAAAACTCAGAATGAGACAATATGTACAATAGAATGAAACACTCATAGAATGAGTCGCTATGTAAAACAAAATGAAACACTCAGAATGAGTCACTGTGTACAGCAGAATCAAACACTCAGAATGAGAAATTATGTACAACAGAATGAATCGCTCAGAATGAGTCACTACGTATAACAGAATGAAACACTCAGAATGAGACACTATGTACCACAGAATGAGATACTATGTACCACAGAATGAGACACTCAGGATGAGACACTATGTACCACAGAATGAGACACTCAGGATGAGACACTATGTACCACAGAATGAGACA